GGGGGGCGTGGATGGGTGGGGCTGAGCGGGGAGGGGGGGGAACAGGCAAAGTATCCCGGGGGATGCAGGCAGAGCACCCCAGGGGTCCAAGGGGGCGCAGAGTCCGGCCCAACCCACTCCGACTCACTTGGCTCCGGCGCTCAGGACGCAGCTTTTCCTCAGCACCGCTGCCAGCATCCTGCCCGAGACGGGGGGACCACCCCGGTACCCTGCCACACCCGGCACCCCCAGTCCCACGGGGACCCCCGCCAGGTCCTTGCGCCCCCCCGACCCGGGACCTTCGTCCTCCTCCTCCTCGGGGCTCCCACCGCTCGAGCTGCAGGGAGGGTGCGAGCGAAAGAGGAAACAGGGAGGGAAGGGGGTGGCCGGGTGACATCAGCCCCGTGCGCCCCGTCACTGTCACCAGGCAGGAAGGGACAGCGTGGGACAGCAGCAAGGTACCACCAGGCTTGGCATCACCCGGCGAGCCCCGCCTGCACGCCACGGGCGCGAGGACGCGCAGCCACGGATGGCATCCCGGTGCGTGTGACGGCCTCGCACGTGTCCATGCCACGGCCAGACCGGCGGGGGGGTCCGCCGTCCCTGTCCTTGCCGAGCATCCCGGTGTCCCCGAAGCTGTCCCGGCCGACCCGCGGGCTCCTACCGGAAGCAGTCGGCGTGCCAGTCGGCGTTCAGCGCCTGCAGGTACTGCCCATCGTAGATGCCCTGCCCGCAGCTCGCACACACCGGCAGGTCGGTCCCTGGATGGAGTGGGGGGACACAAAGGGGACAGGGCTGTCACCCTGCCACCTGTCGCCATCCTCCCTGTGGCAGCACCCAGGCACATCCCCCAGGATTAAGTCCCTCCGACCAGGGTGACGAATTCCGGCCCCCACCCATCACTCCTGTAATGGGGACAAGGTCGTGGCGCCGATGTCCCCAGGGCTGGGGACAGGGCAGGGGCTCAGTGCGGTGCTGCCAGCCAGGGCCCACGTTGTGCCAGGCCACCTCCAGAGCCCCCGTCCCTCAGGGGTGCTGCCATCACCGTGGGTGCCCACATCACCACGGGGTGCTGGGTGCCCACGGGGGTAGGGGGACACGGGGAGGCTGGGGTGCAGGGGGGGCAAGAGGTAGCGTTGGGTTGCTGGAGGGGGTGCAGGGTTCGGCTAGTACAGGGGACAGGCAGGTCGGGGGGGGG